CCGCCCGCCCCCGGCGCCACTGCAGTTACAGAGCCACAGTTCCGTCCGATGGAATTTGAAAAGGACGCGGACATAAGGAGTTTCCCCACAATGGTTTTTAGTTTTGCCTCTCGGCCTGGCGCATCCACAGCTAGTTTAACCATAAAATAACATCCAGTTCGAGTCTTTCTCAACTTCTATTTTACCTTGTCAAAAGAGGGTTGTGGTAATTAAGGCTTCTTAAAATTAGCAGCGTCTCTGTTTGCGTTTCAAAAGGGAAAATGGCAAGTTCTTCGGAAGGTGAGAAACACTTGAAAAACAAACACTGGGAGAGCGTTTGGAAAAACTGCTGTCCCTAAAACCAAGTATTAAAATCAGATGCAATACCACTGTTTAACAGAATTACCTCTAACCTCTGGCTTCTCTCCCAGGTGTACAAATGGGATTGCTTCTTTCCAAAAGCCTCAGCCTCTGCAGGGTCTCTGGAAGTGCTGGTTGGGAGCGTTTGTTTCGCTCACCAGTAGCTGGGTACCCTGGAACTGCTCTTTATGCCCCCAACACACACACCCCGGGGCATTTCCAGCCTCCAGGATAGAGCCTGCCCTGCCTGAGGCTGTGCATTAGCACTGATGGAACTTAGCAAGACCTGTACCCAACAGCTGAGTGCACCAAAAACAGCCCAAAGACCCAAAAGACAGGGTCTTTTCTCTAAAGATCAGCTGCCCTTACCTAAAGGTCCCAAGAAGCAGAAAGCAAGAGACAAAAGTGCCAGAGAGCAGACAGATAACAGTTGAAAAGAATTGAACAAATAGCCCACATTCCAAGAACTCGTGTAACTTCACCACCTCCACCATTAATTCCGTTCCCAAATTCCCTCAGATGAAGTGGATTTGCCACCGTGCAGGCTCAGTTCTTTGGGTTCACAGCTGCTACAGACACTGGAGTCAAGCCACCACCACCCCAGGAACCACTTGCAGGTCAGTGACCAATTCCTTTCATCCACCACAAAACTCAGGGCCTTGTGCTGGCTGCAGTGTCATTTGTTTTCAGGAAGGGAAAAAAATGAAAACCTTATTTTTATACGGAGGATTTTTGTTTGATTTTTTAGAAAATGCACCTCTAACAACATTTGATTCATAGATACCCAAATCCTCCAACACATACAAATTGCAGACAGTCTTTTAATGAACAGCTTCCTGCTGCCCTGAAATGGCCTTTCTGCTTTAGGCTTACACTTTTTCCAAGCACGACAATTCTCAGTACATACAGTGAGCAGTTTACTATGACAGAAGGCAGACGTGTAGATAGATGAACGCATTCTCTCACCAACCATTACTTCAACTCGTATTAAAAATAAATAACGGAATAGAGTCTGTG